ATAAATCACAGCAATAGTACATTCATGTAGTTGTAAACAGCATGATAATATATTAAGTAATCCAAAGTATTCAGAATACGTTACTCTCATTGAGTAACGTTACAAAATACATTTTGGGGCATGTAATCTGTAATCTGTAATGGAATACATTTTAAAAGTAACCTTCCCAACACTGGCTATTAATGTTTTCCTCTTTAAATAAAGGTTATACTGACTCGCTGCACCACCTTGTGGTACAAAGTAAAACTATAAAACAAGTACAGCCTGGCCTTAGTTCAGCTTCAGGCAATATCTCTTCAGCACAATACAGAAATGCTTTGAACAAAAGTCGTAAAGTCATAGCTGTTGTTTCTTCATATTCTTTTGAAGCTTTTAAATATTAAATTAATCACAGAAGTTTCACAATAAACATATTTAATGTGATTATCTAGTTTCCTGTGCAGTTAATGGTGCTAACAGACCATCATCCTAGTATTCTGTCAGGAGTGTGTGATGCACCTGTGCAGGCTGTAGACGCAGCTGGTTGTTCAAGCTGATAATTTAGCTGTTCCGACCTCGTGTCCAAATATCATCACTTCCAGCTAAAAAACGCTAATGTAGACGCTTCAAGATGGGTGATGCCACGATGGCTCCGCCCATCATTTATAAAGACTTACTAAAACCTTAGAACAGGTGGAAGAGTACAGCTGTCTGGAATGCAGCTGCTGTCCACAAACTTTTGGCTGTGTTGTCTTTTTTTCTGTGATGTTGACTTAGCCGTTTCACTAGGACAACACTTAATGTATTTTGAGTCGAGGATGGCGTGAAGCAGCATGAATCAGAGATAAATACATTGGCTGACGGGCAGGATGAGTCTGCGGTCCAGCTCGGACCGTTGGGTTAATGAGGAGCTCTCAGACGAACAAAGTGTTCTGTACCTGAGGCGAGGCGGTGGCGTCAGAGACGAGCGGGTTCAGGCGGTCAGGGAGGATTTTGTTCTGTTGTGTTTGTGACGAATGACTCGGCCAGCGAGCTCGAAGGTGCCAATAATCCTGAGTGATTTACATCCAGGTGTCAGAGCGGGACTGACTGATGAGACTCAGTGGCGACTGTTTACTGAAATCTGTCTAAAAATACCGACCCTGAAGCCCCGAAGCCTAAATATCCAACAATCAGGCGTTAGAGGAAGAATATTCTAACTAAAGAAGAGTTTGTACAGTCTGCAGTGTCACAGCTTCTGATCTGTGCTGCTGCACATTTAAAACTGCAGCTGGAGGAAGAATGAACAAAGAAGAAAAAACCCGAATTCAAACACGAAGACGCTTTAACATCTTTAAAACACATAACAGCAAAGTGTGCAGTGGAGTTAAGAGAAACAGGAAGCTGCACTTTCACTGAACTGTTAGCATGTTAGCGAAATTAGCAGGTTTATATTACAGCTTATGTGTAATGTTGCTGACTTTAATGAACACTTTCTAAACTGATGGATTATATACTTTTTTTTATTCAAGCACTGACTTTTGGGCCTCTGAACGTCTAGTTTAAATAAAGTCTTTGAGTTAAAGCTGAAAGTCTGCACTTCAGTCTTATCCTGAAGAGGAAACAACATGAAAAACGTCTGTCCAGATATTTATGGACCTAACTGCATGAATGTAGATGTTTGATGTCATTTACAAACAATAAGGAGCATTTAGAGTCTAAAATGTCCAGATTTTCCAGTAAATTATGAAGTTTTAGGGATTCATATATTCTGTATGTAAAGCATAGACTGTGTGTTTACACTGTATACTCGGTCTGTGAAGGTCAAACTGCCCAGCTGCCACACACTCTGCAGACTAATGACTCACACTAAAGACATAACTGGGGCATTTTGAGGGGTTTCAGGGCAGATTTGTTGCTGACGTGTTCGCGGTTT